CCACCTTAGGTGTATGTGGCTGGCGCCTTAGCTGCTTGAGCCACAGGCGCCGAGCCTAACAGTTTTTTTGAATGTATTGTTTTTTATGTCCTCTAGTACTAAAGTAAAAGCATTGTGTTGAGCACATAGTACAGAAGATGTAAGAAAAAGTAGATGTGTAGTGTCCTTCAGTTAGTGTGCTCAGTTAGGTCTGGGCAGCCCCTTGTTGTTTTGGGTAATAATAGATGATTTTAAAATTATTCACAGTTTTAAAGATTTTCTGCATTGAAAACCAAGTCCTTGCCTTAAGGAGGTACAGAAAGGAATGGTTAAAAGAATTGATAGATTCAGTGTGATGGTTTGTTGAATTTAGAGACTACTGTGTGGAAAGGCATTTGAGCCCCTGTGTTACTGCAGAGCAGAGTGTGGTGGAGGGATCAGTAGAAAGGGATGGGGGGCAGTGGGAAGCAGGGAGCAGTAGGAGCGGCAGGGGGCAGCAGGGGGTGGCGGGGAGCAGCTCCCTGGTAGCCCTTGACCAGCAAGCCCCTTCAGGTTAGGGTGTGGGAGGTTGGGCTGCACTGCTTGCCAGCATTAGAACCTTTCTGAATTAGGTGCTAGGAACTCTTTCAACTGTGAAATCCTGTGCTTCTAATTTTGGGTGTTAAGTTTGGTGATATAATCAGAAAAATAGGACAAAATCCCAGATGTGTTGGGATAATGATGGAGCTTTTAGCACATTATCTGTCTTACCTTTCTTAGAAAAGGATGTATCCCTCCACACGAACTCTCCATCCTGCCAGCTGTCCTGTGTGTATGGATGTGTGAATACCAATGACAGGCCCCCAAGGAGAAGCATTCTGTGCCCCCTTTTATTCGCCCCTTTCCCAAGAATTAAGCATAAGCCTGCGGCTGCTTGTGTTTTGTTTTTTTTTTTCAGGTATTTTTAGGAATGGGGCAAGCCCCCATGCTCTGCCCACCTCACCATAGGCCACAGTTCAGAGATCCCTATAAACCAGTGGTTCTCAACCTTCCTGATGCCACAGCCCTTTAATACAGTTTAATAACTCTCAGGTTGAGAACCACTGCTTTAAATGTTTCCTCTGAGAACCTGAAAGAGATGAGACAATGTTTCTCTATCCCCACCCTTTTGGTAAAGTTTAAAAATATTACAGTATATTAAATTGAATCTTGTAACCAAGCTGCCATATAACCACAGATGGTTCTTGGTGCTAAAGCCTGTGGTCCTTTTAAATAGCATTAAAACTCAACAGTGACTCCATTGGGGATGAGAGCTGAAAAGTGTGGTCAGTAGGAGGAGCACAACAAAATGAGACATGGTGTCAGATTCTGGATCTGTTTTTTTTTACTTGTTCTTTGGGGCCCTTCCAGGTATAAGTGTGTATGATCTAAAATTCCTGTGTGGCTGAAGTATTGGTTTCTATGCGTTTTTGTGTCAGAGTCCCTAAATAGGCCATTTTTTTATGGACTCCATGGAGAGTCCTGGTCAGTGCCATAGAAATAAGAAAAGGCATTCTGACAAACTTCACCAAACTTCTTCAGCACTTGGTTACATAACAGAGTAAGTAAGTGACCTTATTTAATCAGAATAGGGTACTTTGGGATAGGAAGGCATTTCAGGAAAGAGGCACCTGGCCTCCCTCCTAAGAATCCAAGGACTGAGGCTGATTCAGGGGAAAAGCCCTTTGAGGAGATTGGGAAAAGTACAGAAGGTAGAATCCAAAGTTCCCAAGTATTAAAAATAATAAGGCCGGGTACAGTAGGTCAGGCCTATAATCCTAGCCCTGTGGGAGGCTGAGGCAGGTGAATCACTTAAACTCAGGAATTCAAGACCAGCCTGAGCAAGAGCAAGACCACGTCTATACTAAAAATAGAAAAACTAGCTGGGTGCTGTGGCAGGCACCTATAGTCCCAGCTACTCAGGAGGCTGAGGCAAGATGATTGCTCAGGTCCAAGAGTTTGAGGTCACTGTGAGCTATGACGCTACAGCACTCTACCTAGGGTGACAGAGTCAGACTCTGTATTTTAAAAAAGAAAGTTTTGTTAAATAAATAAATAATAAGGTTATATTGGCAGTAACTTTTTTTTTTGGCAGTAATTTATTGAGTTAAAGGCAACAATCTTTCATTTCTTATAATTGTTAGCATAAAATTAGAAAGTGAAAGGCAAATTTTTTCATCATAATGTGCATTTGCCCTGTTCGTGCATCTGTATATGTATATTTATTTTTATTTATTCATTTATTTTTTAAGACAGTATCACTCCGTTGCCCAGGCTAGATCTAGTGCCATGGCGTCAGCCTAGCTCACAACAACCTCAAACTCCTGAGTTAAAGTGATCCTCCTTCCTCAGTCTCCCAAGTAGCTGGGACTACAGATGCTTGGGGCCTGGCTAATTTTCCTATTTTTTAGTAGAGACAGGATCTTGCTCTTGCTTAGGCTGGTGTTGAACTCCTTCCCAAGCTCAAGTGATCCACCTATCATGGCCTCCTAAAGTGCTAGTATTACCTAGGCATGGCCCATGTCACATTTGTTAAGGGAATCCAGTCACTCTCCAAAGAACCAAAACTGGTTGACGTTACAGAGGAGCTTCCATTTTCCCTCTTCCTTTAAAAAAAAAATTCATCAATAGTCTTCTTTAAATGTTTCATTGGAAATATATGGAGTGCTAATCAAAATGATCATGTAGGTGGCATATTTTGGCCTAAGAAATATTTACAAAGTTGGGTGTGGAGGCATACTTCTGTGGCAACTAGGGAGGCCAGCTTGAATTCTTGAGCCCAGGAGTTCAAGTCTAGCCTGTGTAACTCATAGAGACTATCTCTTTAGGAAAAAAGAGGAAGAAAAAGAAATACAGTAGAACCTCCATAGTTGACCACCTCTCTATATTGACTGCCTCCTTAAGTAGACCTAATTTACATAGACTGGACATACACCCTATCTGTGTTTCAGTATAGTAGTCCTGGTTTCATATGTTCACCAGCTTTGTATGTTGAACAGTTTGTTACAGTTTTGTGGATGGTCAACTTACAGAGGTTCTACTGTATATGCAACCAGATTGAAATATTTTTGAAAATTAATGTAAAAGTTAGTGTAGGACTGAAAGCAGAGGTTAGAGAGCAACTTGAGCTCCCTTTACAACTTCCATCCAAGTGGCTTCTCAAGTCCTCTTTCTCCCTGATTAGGCTTGTAAGGTATTGAATTAATTGCCTTCCAGACTAGAAAGATTCTTCTGGCCATTGAGTACATAATCTAGCTGTTCTACTTGGAATTGGAGCCAAACGTAAGGTTTTATCTGGGATTAATTCAGCTGTTTTTATTGTGTATTGTGGGCAGAAGAGAGGCCCCAAGCCCAGGCGTTCCTGGGTGCTCTGCTGAGGCCCTGGTGTATCTGGAGTGCTGGGACAACCAGCCCACCCTGAACTGAGCCTGGGCATGTTCTGGGTCCTGCTGAAACACCAAGATCATGAACTAGTCCTCATCGCAGGTGTACCTGGAGGCATTCTTGTCACCTTGCTTCAGTCCTTCAGCTGATTCACATGCAGTCTTTTCTTTAAAAAAAGATGAAAATGTGATGTGGTTCTGGGTTGATTGCCCCCTGGTAGTTTGTTAAAGGCAGTGCTAAGAGAGACAGCCCCTGCCTCAGACTGGTGAGTCTTCCCTTACGGTCACCTTCCTAACATTCTCATCATTGAAAGAAAGAGAAGGTGGGTTGGCGCAGTAAACCTTCCCAAGTGTGGCTTGCCAGGGCAGCTGGAGGGGCAGCCACTGACCACAGGCTCCATCAAAGGGGCCCTGGGCCTCTGCACACCTGTCAGAACAGCAAGATCTTGTTCAGGCTAGAAGAAATGAGGGGAAGACTCAGAAATGGTACTTAGCTTCTTCTTTTTTCCTTTTCTCTCTTTTTTTCTTTTTTATACTTGATTTTAGCCAAAGCTGAGAAGTGACCTTTTTTTCTTAAACATAGTATTTGATCAGCAGAGCAATTGCAGTTGCTCTCTTTGTATATTGTTACTAACTTAAAAAAATTCATGGTCCTGAGTTTTTTCTGTGAGTCAGAGAAGTGGGAACACATGGCCTTCCCCACACACTGGCACTCGGAGGATAGCTGACAGTGACCAAGGACTCCCGTCCTTGTGGACATCCACTTCATCTGGCCTCAGGGTCTTTTTTGTTTCTAGATTGTTTTGTTACTGAGTCAGAGATGAATAAAATGATGATGAAAATAAATGATGAGATGCTGAAAACAAACCTTGATACATGAAGGCCTTTGCTTGTAGGAAGCGGCAGCGTTTGCTGTTCAGGGCCCTGTTCATTAGCATTTGGTTGAAGGCAGGTGCTCATAGAATAGGACTGTGCTTCGGCCAGGCAAGGCTGATTCACTGAAGAGAATTCATAGCCCTTGTAGTGTGTGTGAGAATGTGTGTATCTTCATTAGAAGAGGTATAAAAATATTTCTGAAGCTTCTTTGAACTTTTTGCATGAAAGAAACAATGAAACGTTTCTTTTGTTACTTTTTAGGAGCCTTTTTGGTTTGATTCAGAATCTCAAAAATGTAGGTTTCCTCTGTAAGGAAAACAGGCTGCTGACTTGGGGGCCAGCCTCTGTGAAATGCTTAGCATGTCATCTGTTGTATCCTAGGCATTTGAGCTGGCAACGGGGGATTATTTGTTTGAACCACATTCTGGGGAAGACTATTCCAGAGATGAAGGTGAGTATTCTGCCTGCTGAATCTCTCAGTCTGGGTCTCCTGCCAGTCTTGAGCTTCTGGAGAATATTGTGTGTTTGTACGGAAACAGAGCCATGTTTGGTTTTCAGACACCAAATTCAGATGCTTTTCCTTTGAGTTTGAAGCCCCCTCAGTCTCAGTGAATGGGCAGGGCCTGCCTGGCTTGGTGGCACTCCGGAGAGCCCTTAGGGACTCATGTCAGCCTCTTCTCTTGGCCTAGCACAGGGCAGGAGCCCAGCTGGTCTGGGGGAACAGACTGTGCATGCATACCTGAAGCCTCTCTGTGGGCTTTTTGTCCACTGATGTGCTGCCCATTTCTCTGGCCTGTTTGGGAGCTGAGTTAAAAAACTCAGGAATTCTGGCTTGAATTCCATCTATAAACCTGATCATCTTCATGCTTATTTGCTTGCAATGCTGGGGTGGCCTGGGGTGAGCTGGCCTCAGTCAGATGGTGCCTGAGGCCTGCCAGTCCCACAAACCTCTGCATGGATGTGCTGCAGACATTGTTGATTTGAATCTGATTTCTGATTTTTTACTAATTTCAATTTTTCCCTCTTTTTTTATCCCATCCTTTCCCTTTGCCCCTCCCATTCCCATATCCTTTTTTTCTCTCCTCCATAGACCACATAGCCCACATCATAGAGCTGCTAGGCAGTATCCCAAGGCACTTTGCTCTATCTGGAAAATATTCTCGGGAATTCTTCAATCGCAGAGGTAGTACCTCTTCTTTTTGAAAAGCGCCACGATGCAGACAGAAATGGAATAGCAGCTGCCAATTGTAGCGTTAATGATGACAAAGGCATTTTTCTTACATTCAGAAAGCAGCGAGCAGAATCCCTGCGCTGATTTAAAAGTTGTCGGGGAGGACCGCATCTGGCCCTGTGCTGCGGTCACCCTGGGCATTGGCCCCCAGTCCGGCCGCATGGGGAAGCCTGTGCTTTTGATCATTCAGGTCGCGCTCTGTTTCTGTCTGCGCGGGCGGTGGCAGTGTCTGCATGCAGTGTACTGATTAAACTGTCGTGTGTTTCTGTTTTGCTGGCAATGTTTCCCATGCAGATCACATAGCATTGATCATTGAACTGCTGGGGAAAGTTCCTCGAAAATACGCTATGTTGGGGAAATATTCCAAGGAGTTTTTCACCAGAAAAGGTAACGGTACTTATGCAACACTAATTTTCAGCATAATCCTCTCCCAAAAGGAGAAATTGTGCATTCATGTTTGGGCAGTGGAGAAAGATCCGGACTTGTACAACTGGGGAATTCGGCTGAAGAAAGCTCTCGAGAAATAAACCTGACCCATCTGATATCTGTGGAATAAGCATTTTGTGAGAGAACAAACTTCTTAAAATACTTGTCCTACTCCACCTTTCTCTTTTCTTATGCCAAACACCAATCTGTGTATTCAGGTTATCTGTGAAAACTAATTTTTGGAAAGCAAGGATTATCTTCTTGTTTTCATGCCCAGAGACCTTCTTTAGTGGAGCACAGGCAGTCTGGACACTGAGTTTGTGAATGTCCAGGCCCGTCTTGTTTGGGCTTTCTGAGCTGTTTATGTAGTGAGTATAAGCCCTGTGTTTATCATGTTCTTAGAATTCAAATTTTACTTTCTTATTATAAAATGTCAAAGTGTGTCGTAGACGATCTATTTTAATATTGTAGTTCTCACTGATCATGAATAGTTGTTTCTTTGCCCTGTGTATTCCCTAGTTAGCAATCAATCTTGACAGCACCCAGAAGTCTCTGGAATGTTGTTTGTCTGTTTGTTTTTTGAGACAGAGTCTCACTCTGTCGCCCTCAGTAGAGTGCCATGACGTCAAAGCTCATAGCAACCTCAAACTCTTGGGCTTAAGTGATTTTCTTGTCTCAGCCTCCCAAGTAGCTGGGACTACAGGTGCCCGCCACAACGCCCGGCTGTTTTTTGATTATAGTTGTTATTATTGTTTAGCAGGCCTGGGCTGGGTTTGAACCCACCAGCTCCAGTGTAGGTGGCTAGTGCCTTAGCCACTGAGCTACAGGCGCTGAGCCACCCAGGAATGTTTTCTTTTCTTTCTTTTTTTTTCTTTTTGAGACTGAGTCTCACTCTGAGACCCTGGTAGAGTGCTGTGGCATCATAGCTCACAGCAGCTTCGAGCTTTTGGGCTCAAGTGATCCTCTTGCCTTAGCCATCCAAATAGCTGGGACTACAGGCACCTGGCACAACACCTCTTTAGTTTTTAGAGATTGGGTCTCACTCTTGCTCAGTTGTTCAGGGTCTCAAACTCCTGAGCTCAAGCAATCTACCCACCTTGGCCTCCCAGAGTGTTGGGATTATAGGTGTGAGCCACTGAGCCTGGCCTTAGACGTAATTTTTATGTACAATAATTAGATGTAATTATTATTCTCACTACCTTTTTAAGACTTAACAGAAAAAGAAATTGTCAGGAAAAACTATGTGTCAGGCAGGCTGTGTTAACTTTTGGTTCTGAGCTGGGTCATGGGAGCCAAAGGCAGGCCATCGTGCTCAGGCCTGAGTGGAGTCCAGGGCAGGGAAGGGCTGTGTGCTGACTGTGTGCAGGACCGCACTAGGCGCAGCCTGCACGCGGTGCACTCGGTGCCTTTCAGGTTGTGCTGCGGCAGGTATGGAGAAGAGGGTGTTCCCAGCAGCACGTGGGACAGTAGTAGCTATCCTTGTTACCACTATAGCAGAGTTATAAATAGAAACACAGGGGCTTGTGACCGTCTATACAGCAATGTTACTGAAAGAGAGCAGACTAAGTTTCCCTAGGAAACTTCCAGAAAACGTTATTTGAAAGTGTTGAAACAAGGAAGAGCTCGGGCCTCTGGTCTGTTAGGGCTTGGAGAATTGTGTGTATTTCAATGAAGACACACTTCCTTCCACATATCAGACTGTTTCCAGGCCCTGTACGAAATGATCCAGCCCTAGTGGGTGTGGCTTGCTGTGAACTCCCAGCCAAAGTCCTCACCCTTGGACTTCACATAGAAGTTAGGCAAGATGGTGACCCATGAGACATCATCTTGGTCTGTGGTGGACACACAGACCGTAATTGACCTGTTGGTGCTCCCAGGGGAAAGGAGGGACCTGGGAGCCAGCAGCACTGCTCCTCCAGCCAGGGGGCACCAGGGCGTGGCGATCCTCATTTCCTTCCATGGGCATGTAAGAGGACCGACAGGGATTCTTCTTGTGATCCAAACCTTTCCTCAGCAACAAGGACCTTCTTAGAATGACAGGGCTCAGCACTCCTCCTTGTCAGGTGTCTGCTGATGGAGGGGGTTGGGGATGACCCTGTACTATGCACAGGGTGGGGAAGGGGACTAAAGGGAAGGCATGGAATGGTGAGGAAATGAAGGCATGTGAGTGATTTTAAGGAGCCTCTCCAAGCAGCCTGTGGTGATGGAGCAGGTGGCTGCTCCCAGGGCTGTGTGCCTGTGGGCTGGGGTAGTGAGAGCACCTGTGCTGTGCCCTCTGTCGGCATCCTGCTCCTGGGACAGCTGGAAGGATGTGCAGCTGCAGGCGCCCTTGCCATCACATGTGCTTAGGACCCTTCTGAGTAGCTTGTTTGAAGGGGCATGCAGAGTTAAAGTGCATTTGGTCTCCTTCTTAACGAGACACCAAAAACATTGTGACTCATTGTGACTGTTGTAGTCGCTTGGTGTGATTAGAGTCCCTTTTTCTTCCTTTGGATGTAAAGGAGAATTTGTCTAGGTGAGAAATCCCCTAAAATGACTGGGAATTAGGACTTGAGTCCTTTGCTGGTTACTGTATAATGGCTGTGGAGACCAGAAGGGATTTAGGGTTTTTATAGTACAGAAGTCACAGGATAATATTAAGAGGAATTAGGGGCTCAGCCCCTGTAGCTCAAGAGGCTAGGGAACCAGCCACATACACCTGAGCTGGCAAGTTCGAATTCAGCCCGGGCCTGCCAAACAACAATGACAACTACAAACAAAAAATAGCTGGGCATTGTGGTGGGCACCTATAGTCCCAGCTACTTGGGAGGCTGAGGCAAGAGAATTGCTTAAAGCCCAGGAGTTGAGGTTGCTGTGAGCTATGATGCCATGGCACTCTACCCAGGGCGACAGCTTGAGGCTCTGTCTCAAAAGAAAAAAAAAAAAAAAGAGGAATTAGAGCCTGTCATGGAAATAGATTTATTTCACTCTGTCCCTTAGGATGAAGGGCATGGTTTGTTGCATAAAAGATGTGTTTTGGCATGTCCCCCATTGTAATATGTGAAGGTACATTGTAGAAATAATGGAAATTTTAAGTGTATTCATTTAAATTTCTTTTCGAAAGAAACTGCCAGAACTGATTTAAAAAACCAAGTTTAAAATTGCTGTGAATTTACTGAAGTCACATTCCAAAGCGGTTACTGTTACAGAGTGAGTCCTGAGAGCTTTGCCTGCTCTTTTCTCTTTCTGGGTGAGAAGCAGATTTTGTTTTTTTTTTTTTTTTTTTTTTGAGACAGAGCCTCAAGCTGTCCCCCTGGGTAGAGTGCCATGGCATTACAGCTCACAGCAACCTCCAACTCCTGGGCTCAAGCGAGTCTCCTGCCTCCGCCTCCCAAGTAGCTGGGACCACAGGCGCCCGCCACAGCGCCCGGCTATTTTTTGGTTGCAGCCGTCATTGTTGTTTGGCAGGTCCGGGCTGGGGATTCGAACCCGCCACCTTAGGTGTACGGCTGGCGCCTTAGCCGGTTGAGCTATAGGCGCCGTTTTTAATCCCCACCCCAGGGCAAGAAGGAGAGTAGGGTCTGTGTGTTAAAGCTGAACATCAAGTGCCACTGATTGACATCTTTGACATCTTACCTTGAGCATGACTAGTTTGAATCATTCAGTGGAGTGCTGTGGCATCACAGCTCACAGCAACCTCCAACTCCTGGGCTTAAGTGATTCTCTTGCCTCGGCCTCCTAAGTAGCTGGGACTACAGGTGCCTGCCACAATGCCCAGCTATTTTTTGGTTGTAGTTGTCATTGTTGTTTGGCTG